TCATCGTTGTACACAGTCACCTCAGGTTTTTGCCTGACCCCTCGAACCTCAACTTCGTGACTGCTACAGACGATCGTAGGTCACAATTGCGATCTAGAGTCAAGCTCGAGAGCAGGCTATGCTGTGATCAAGAAAAAGTACAAGCCAGTCATGCTAAAAACTCGACCAGTAATTGCATCGGTACCTGAGCAATTCTGAATCGTTCGACGAATCGTTGGAGATCCTTTGCGACACCTATCTAAGCTTCCAGAGCGGCCGGCTCCATTCTTTCCAATCGGTCACTATACGAAGGAACGCATGGAGGCTTTGGATGTGGTGCACCAGCCAGAATTCTTATGGTCAGAAGAGTGAGCTCTCATGCACGCATTCATGTGTCTGCACAATCAGGCATTCGATCAGAGCGATTCCGAGCAAGGACGATTCAAGTTGCAGTATTTCCCACCGATCGATTTTTCAGTCATCCCACATCAGCCATGGGTTCAGCGGAACATTCCGATTCCACCGGACATTTACAAGGAAGTCTGCGCGATTATCAAGAAGAAGCTGGATGCCAGAGTCTACGAGCTCTCAAACTTCTTATATCGATCGCGATGGTTCTGCATCATAAAGAAGGATGAAAAGTCTCTGCAACTTGTTCACAGTCTCGAACCACTTAACGTCATCACAATCCAGCACTCAGGAGTTACGCCGACTTCAAAGCATCTAGCAGAGCAGTTCAGCGGTCACGCCTGTGGAGCCATGCTCGATCTATATGTTGGATACGATGAGAGACTCATAGCGGAGACATCACGTGACCTCACCATGTTCCAGATGCCTTTTGGTGCTTTGCGACTCGTCACCCTTCCGATGAGATGGACAAACTCGGTGCCGATCTTTCACGATGATGTCATGTACATTTTGCAATCAGAAATCCCTGCATTCACCATGCCGTACATCGATGATGTCCCAGTCAAAGGTCCAGTGACTAGATATCTCAATTTGGATGGAAGCTTCGAGATGATCGCAGGCAACGATGGCATTTGACGATTCATCTGGGAACACTTCCAGAATCTTAATCACATTGTGCAGCAAATGAAGTATGCTGGAGGTACCTTCTCGGGAACGAAGTTAACACTATGTGCCGAAGAGATCACGGTTGTCGGACACAGGTGTACTCCAATTGGATGATTGCCAGATGAATCGCGAGTCTGGACAGTCAGAAATTGGGGCCCATGCAAGGACCTATCGAAAGTTCGAGCTTTTCTAGGCACGATCGGAGTTGCGAGGATCTTTATCAGGGACTTTGCAAAGCGAGCGCACTCACTTGTGCAGCTTACTCAAAAAGGAGTTTCATTCGAATTCGACAAGGTGCAGCTCAAAGCGATGGAAGACCTGAAGCAGGCATTATTGGAGTCGCCAGCTTTGCGAGCAATTGATTACGACTTGTCAGCACCAGTTATTCTTGCAGTGGACACGTCTCTGATCGCAGTCAGATATCAGTTGTGCCAAGGTGCAACTGACAGATCGAAAAAGTGGTTTTTCAATCGGTTTGGGTCTATCACGCTCAACGATCATGAGAAGAGGTTTTCGCAATCGAAGCTCGAGCTCTACGATCTATATCGTGCATTGCGAGCACTCAAGGTCTATCTAATCAGCATTTGCAACCTGATAGTCGAAGTGAATGCAAAGTACATTAAGGGCATGTTGCAGAACCCAGACATTGCTCCGAGTGCAAGCGCTAATCGTTGGGTCATTGCGATGCTCATGTACCAGTTCCGACTAGTCCACATCCCAGGAGTCATGCATGGTCTAGATGGATTATCACACCGACCGAGACAGCAAGGCGACCCACCACCAGAGCTGATCGAGGACACCAACTTCAATGACTGGGTGGATCGCATGAACGGCTTTATGCATCAAGTGCTTCCCTGAGCACAGCTTCCGAGCAATCTGCCGTCGACCGAGAATGGTCGATTTTTCAGAACGGAAGAGGAGCCAGCCACGCAATCAGTTTTTGTGCTTCTAACTCAAAATGATGATGGATTAGAAACCATGCAAAATACTCAGGACCTGAAGGTGGTCAGCTACAAGGACATTTCACGATCTGCACAAGCCAGATGGAATGACCATCTTATTGCTCTAATTACTGACTGGCTAGAAATGTTGCAGCAACCGGAGAATTACTCGGACAAAGAATATGATCGAATGCTCAAGTATGCGGTCCACTTCTTCAAATGCGACAGACGTCTCTGGAGGAAAGATGGACAAGGATCGCACAAGCTAGTCATATTACCAGAAAACCGACTGCGGGTCCTCGCTGGAGCACATGACAAACTTGGACATCGAGGCATTTTTCTGACTCGGTCGTTAATTCGCGAATGCTTTTGGTGGCTGGACGTCATGGCCAACATCGCTTGGTTCGTCAAGACTTGTGTAATATGTCAAAAGTGACAGATTCACCAGATTCTCATTCCACCGATTGTTGCGATTCCAGCCCCGATATTTGTGAAGATATATATCGACACAATGCATATGCCGCCCTCAAACGGATTCAAGTACATTGTGCAGGGTCGGTGTTTGCTCACCCACTATCCTGAGTTCTGTATGCTTCGAGCAAAAATGGCAAAGACCCTCGGTGATTGGATTTTCGAAGATATACTCTGTCACTGGGGGGCGCTATCAGAAATTGTAACCAACAATGACACGCCATTCGTAAAAGCAGCAGCCTATCTGGAGAAGAAATATCACGTCAAGCACATCCGGATAAGTGGCTACAACTCACAAGTGAATGGAATCGTTGAGCAACCACATTTCGACATTCGGCAAGATCTATTCAAGGCTGCTGATGGAGAGGAGCGCAAATGGAGTCAAGTCGCACATTCCATTTTCTGGTCGGAAAGAGTAATGGTTAGAAGACGCATGGGTTGCTCACCCTATTTCGCAGTCACAGGCACCAATCCAGTTGTACTGCTTGACATCGTTGAAGCAACGTTGATATGCTCAACCACGTCCTGGCTGTGAGCAGCACTCCTAACCAAACCCCTACTGATCGAAGGCAAACTGGGGCTCTGTCCGTCCACAGTCCCTTTGAGCCACGGTCGCAGGAAACTTCAGGTGATAACGCAGTGACGGGCAGCTATGAGTCGTTCAGCTGTGATGCTTGAAACTGAGTCAGATTGTCAAAGATTCTGGATCGGTGAGTGTCGGACTTGACTGTAGAAATGCCTTCGACCGGGAAACAGTCGAATGCTGAAATGCAGGGGTGTGTGAGTGTAGAATGCAATTGGTGACTTCCATACTCACGAACTGTAGTGGCTGAAGGTCTGGGCTGGGGCACGAGGACCTTCTATATCTGGAAAGTGCTGGTCAAGCACCGACGAGCAACCTTTAACTGCCTTCAAACTGGAACAAGCACCGACGATGAAGCCCTGAGCACTTCCGAACTGAAACGAGCACCGATGACAAAGCCCTGAGCACCTCTGAACTGGGACGAGCACCGACGATGAACTCCTGGGTGCTAGCGAGGCTACGAGATCCGATGGGGACAGAATCTTGGTTTGAGACTCGTGACTGGTGGCGTGCGAGCAAAATGTGATGGCGTGAAATACGAGAATGCGATAATGTGACTTATCCGGCTGAAACTCGAGTCGAGCTAGAGACCACTGCTGAAAGTGCTGCCTCTCTCGGTGTCGAGAATCCCAGAGATGTAGAATGTGATCACAATAGATGTAGACGTAGTCAGACACGACACCCTAGCATAGACAAGATGAGAACTGAGCACTGCTGCATGGGGAACTTCGTCTAAAACTCTCTTATTATTCCTATGTACAGTGTAGATTATATAGTGGATCGGAAATGAGCCAGCTGAGTCACTGAAACGTGTTTCCGATCATACATTGTGTTTCCGATCCATTGAAACCTGTCGCAGAGCTCATCCCTGCCCCCTCTCCATATCATACATTCAGTGAACTGGAAGTCCTGCCCTGCTAGGGTCCGTCGGTTTGCTACCCAGTCGCATTCCGCTTTCGTGCTGCCCCTTGTAATTGGCTATGCTTCCTCATGGCTCACTCATTATTTTCATGCCTCATGTTCACCTTCTGATCCCTTCATGTGGTGCCGTGTTCCCAGGCTGTCAGTAAGGTCTTCTTTGCTCACTTTGGACTGTTTTGGCTCGATGTTTGTCTTTCTGAATCACGGCGACTCGCTATCCGATTGTGTGATAGTCGGACACAGTTTCTGGCATTTTCTGATCACAGAATATCTCGGTGCATATCACCTCCCCCATTCTGAGATTTGGACCATCCTCGGTTGGTCAGGCTTGCATACTTTTAGATAGCATGACCTGGCTGTCGGTTCCCCGTCCTTCACCGCTATGTTCCACACTGATGGTGTCTTCAGCCTTGCTGCTCATGCTCGCAGTCTCTACCCCATTGACAGTGCTTGCGTTTTGCTACTGCAGTGCCTGGACAATCTTGTTTTCGCATCGCCCGCTCCTGATGTGCATGCGTTGGTCTGGCAGAGCTGGGCCATGTCATTTTCAGCTTACGAGGTGAATATTTCGTGTCACGATCTGCCTTTTGATTGTTAACGTTGTGGCCTTCCAGTTACGCATGACCTGCGACTATTCAAACTGTGCCAAGGGTTTGCGATGTGAGGTCAATTCGGTGTATGACTGGCTCATGCTGAACATGAGCCTCAACTTTGATTGGATCCCAGCAGGGGTCCCTTTCTCCCTGAGAGGTTATTCCGAGGCTGTCGGGACTGCTGACCTGATTCGTTCTCCTGCTGTGATGGCTGAAATCATGTGAGAGATCATCAAGGCTGCAGACCATGGTGATTTTGACAAGTTCCCAGAAGGTCGTGACCGTACTTGTGACCACTTCTTGATGGCGTACACGGCAAATGACATTTTTGTGGATCGGCGCGACCATACATTCCTTGGGCAGACCATCCCGATTGGCTGCTGGTGGATAGACTATGATAGCTGACACATTTCTTCTTCTTCCGCCGTGTCTCGGGCTATGGCAGAGATTCTTCAGGATGCGATCAAGCGTGAACCTGAAGTTGTTGCAGCGACTCCGAGGGTGCAGTCGCGTTTGGCGTCCGTCATGAGTATGGCGTCGTCCGTGGTTACCACCAAGTCTTCCAAGTCGAATACGCTGCATGAGTACTACATCGCCATCCACGCTCTCCCAAAGTGCGTGCAGGTCGTGTTTCTGAGCTTTGGCAAGCGATGGCCGCATACCAGGGTGCGTCTGGTCACTTTCTTCATATTTGGCTCTTTGCTTATGCTCCAGCCATCAGTGCTCCAAGTGCCTTGTGGACAGTGACTGCATGATCATGCCCTCCGACCACGGTGGGCAGGCTTGCATTCGCTGCTGAATTTCGCACCTCAAGTGCTCATTTGTTCAGGCTCCTGCTAGTATGTCCCTCTTTTCTTTCGATCACAAATACTGCCATACTGATGTTGCCCCTTTTGCGATCGCAGACACCAACTCGCATGTGGAGACCGAGAGAATTCTTAGTGAAGTTCGTGGGCTGGCCATTTCCAATGCCCTGTTGGTCGAGATCTATACACAGGAGCATGCACGACTGGTTGTGGAGGTGACTCACATTGACGAGCGCCTTCAGTTCTTGAAGACCTTCCTGGCTGCGAATGGGCAAGCTGCATAGCCTAGAACCATCTCTATTTGTCCTTCATATACTCCGCTTTCTTGTGTACAATAGTCTGACTGCATTCAGCTCTGGCGCGGTGCCGTAAATCCATTGTTTTTGAGTGGCTTCGATCAGAGTTGGCTCGCATTTCGGTCCCACAATAGAAGTTCCGTCTGAGTCACTCAATCTGGCCTCCTGAGAAAGCCGACTGGCTCTACCGTGTGGTAGAGGATGATACCGCGAGGTTTTAATGACGTGTTTGCATGTCCGAGCTTGGCCAGTTCAAAATTTTCTGCAATGGCACCTGACTCACCTCTCCCTCTTCTCGATCTCTCAGCTCCTCGATGGGTGACCCTGCTACTCCATCATCCTCTCAACATCCTGTGATTCCAGTTGCTTCTCCATGCAAGGTACGCCGGTCCTCCAAACATTTTAGGCTTTCTGCAGTGCTAACTTCTTTCCTTGACACCTAGGTGGTGAACTCGAAAAACGCCATCATTGGCGTCATTTACTCCACTTGGGAGGTGTTGTGCGAGGCCAAGCCTCTTAATTCAGCCGTGGATTTCGAATTCCTGATATGTGAGTTTCTTTCTGCCCTGGTAGATGAACGCTCCGTCATACTCGCAGCTGGCTAACTTGCTCCCTTCTCTAGCATGATCTTCGCGCCTTTTCAGACTCGGTATCGCAAACACGCTATACCCAGTTTTGCCAAAAAGCCCAGGTGCATCTCGACTCCTTCGTTCAACCGTTGTGGCTATCGTGGTGCGCAGAGTTGATCTCACCTGAGCGGGCCACTGCCTTCTCGGCGAACAAGGTGCGGGCGCTGGACTATGATCTCTTGTTCTCTACTAATGCAATCCTTTGACTCTCTCTAGGAACTGAGCCCCCCTCCGGCGACTGAGGCTTCTGCACGTACTCCTTCTGATACTGGGGAGGTCGTGGCCTCCGACTCTCCAACCGCTTCCACCGGCACCGACGATACTCTTCTCTTAGTTGCTCTGGCCTCTTTTTCTGTGGTGGTCACACCTATCACAGCTTCTGCTGCTCTTCATGATCCTGTCCCAAAGTTCGAGTTTCAGGCTCATGCGACCAACCCAGTCACTATCGACCCTCCTTCTGACTCTGACATTGCAGCCATGGAGGTTGATCCTCCGCTCGCTACCGTGGTCGATAAACCTACCTCTGCACCTGTCTCCGAGACCATCGAGCTCTCCAGCAATGATGAGAATGACAGTGACAGTGACGAGGTTAAGTTCGTGGGTGGCACGATCCCCAACTTGTCTTCAGCATATCCGAAGAAGGGCAAGGGCCATGGTCGCAAGTCTGTCAAGGCTTCCAAAATGACTACGGCCTCAGAGGACCAGTAGGTGTGCATGCCTGTGCGCACCTTTCACGATCGCTCCCTTCCTCCAGAGTACCTCCTGGCTCGGCAAAAGCCATCTATCACCTGTTTGGTAAGCGCTTTCCTGGCTCACGCTTTTCCATTGCTAACTCCTCTTTCTAGTGTCACTACTGCCTTCTTTCTAACAAGGTGTCTCATACTTGCACGTTAAGTGAGTTTCATCCTAAATGCCACAAGTGTCACCATGACCACAAGGCCTGCAAGTGGTGGACACATGATACAGTCCCTGACATTGACGATGCTGATGGCTGGCTTTCGCTAAAGAAGCTGTACCATCAAAGGGACTGGCCACTGCCCAAGATGCCAGATGCTTCAGTGATTGCAAAGGCTTTCAGTCACCAGGGTGACTATGACAAGCAGATGCGTGATGCAAACACTGCTGGCAGTGATTACACCGCAGAGCTCGAGCTTCTGCTGGACACACTGATTGACGAATATGAGACTGCGATTGCTCTAACCCCATGCCTTTGTAGGCCTCCTTGCTTTCTCGTTTCGTTCCTGGCTAACTGACCTCCCTCCAGGTCCAGCCCATATCTTACCCGACACGCCCAAACCTGATGTTGAGTCTGACGCTGAAGATGCCCCTGAGGTTGTGACCGTCAAGCAAGAGAAGGGCACCACCGGACCATCTCGTCGTAAGCTGGCAATTCCTCCACCACCGCGTGGTATGTTCCTTTCTGCCTCATTACTGCTTTGCTAACAGTTTCTTTAGGGTGTTTCAACAGGCCTCTCAAGCATCCTCGCTTTGACGCCTCTGACCCTGATGACATTATGATGCAGCATGCCCATGCCGGCATCATCGTCGCTCTGCCGACCAGGGTCCTCAAGCCACACTCGTCGAAAGGTAAATCCCATGCAAAGGGCTCCTCCAAGGTTGCGACCGTGAAGTCAGAGCCGATTCGTGCTTCGACAGCCATCATTGAGCTCTCTGCAGCTAGTACGCAACTCGAGCGAATGATCGAGCTTTCGCAACAGCTCCTCGAGGAGAACTGTGCCTTGAGGGCTCACAAGTCGTGACTTTGTTGATGTGCTGGGCTTGGGCTGGGGTGATGCAAAGTGGGCCATCCACATATTTCTTCACATCTCCTTCATGATCTCTCCCTCTGCGCGCGTGGAGCAAGTGTATTAGTTAGTCGTCTTGAATAAACTGTGTGCTGAACAGCCTTGCGTGATCTTGCCTGACCGAAATATTAAGAAATTTGCCACCAAATACAATCGTCTTGTTCGAATCCTTGAGTCTTTAGCTGAGTCCTTGCCTATATATGATTGAATGATTAGTTCGAATCCTTATACTTGTCTATTCCGACTCGTTTGCGTCGTACTGGTCCTGTGGTCCTTCGTCTTCTTCCCCTGCCTTCTCATCTTCTTGTTCTTCATCTGGTTCCTCTTCTCCTTGGTCGTCTGCCTGGTGCATCTCCTTCAATCTGTTTTCTGATGCGTCCAACATTTCTTCTGTGATCGCGATCTTTTTTCTTGCCGCAAAGGGCACCACCCTGAATGCAGCAATTGGCTGGTCCAATACTGCTCCATCCAGCTCGCAGAGCACGTATGCTCCTCCTCGATTGCGAAACAGCATGATATATGGTCCAATATAGCGCAGTCTCATTTTTCGATTGAGTGCCTTCTCGATCTGTGCATGCCGAACCAAGACTAGGTCTCCATGCTTGAAGTCAAAATCCTTGATCGCATTCTTGTGGACTCGCTCGAATCATCTGGCTGCTTCTCTTCTGGCTTCATAGACTGCGTTATAGATTCTTGTGACCTGTTCATGGCACTTCTGCAATGCTTCAGCTCAACTCGCAATTAGGTCGGTTGTTGTCACCATTCCGACTGGGGCTGGAATCAAATACGTTGCTTCAATGATGTCAAGTGGTAGGACTGGATTGGTGCCTGTGACTGCAAAATAGGGTGAGCAACCCATGCATCTTCTAACCATTACTCTTTCCGACCAGAAAATGGAATGTGCGACTTGACTCCATTTGCGCTCCTCTCCGTCAGCAGCCTTGAATAGATCTTGCCGAATGTCGAAATGTGGTTGCTCAACGATTCCATTCACTCGTGAGTTGTAGCCACTTATCCGGATGTGCTTGACGTGATATTTCTTCTCCAGATAGGCTGCTGCTTTTACGAATGGCGTGTCATTGTTGGTTACAATTTCTGATAGCGCCCCCCAGTGACAGAGTATATCTTCGAAAATCCAATCGCCGAGGGTCTTTGCCATTTTTGCTCGAAGCATACAGAACTCAGGATAGTGGGTGAGCAAACACCGACCCTGCACAATGTACTTGAATCCGTTTGAGGGCGGCATATGCATTGTGTCGATATATATCTTCACAAATATCGGGGCTGGAATCGCAACAATCGGTGGAATGAGAATCTGGTGAATCTGTCACTTTTGACATATTACACAAGTCTTGACGAACCAAGCGATGTTGGCCATGACGTCCAGCCACCAAAAGCATTCGCGAATTAACGACCGAGTCAGAAAAATGCCTCGATGTCCAAGTTTGTCATGTGCTCCAGCGAGGACCCGCAGTCGGTTTTCTGGTAATATGACTAGCTTGTGCGATCCTTGTCCATCTTTCCTCCAGAGACGTCTGTCGCATTTGAAGAAGTGGACCGCATACTTGAGCATTCGATCATATTCTTTGTCCGAGTAATTCTCCGGTTGCTGCAACATTTCTAGCCAGTCAGTAATTAGAGCAATAAGATGGTCATTCCATCTGGCTTGTGCAGATCGTGAAATGTCCTTGTAGCTGACCACCTTCAGGTCCTGAGTATTTTGCATGGTTTCTAATCCATCATCATTTTGAGTTAGAAGCACAAAAACTGATTGCGTGGCTGGCTCCTCTTCCGTTCGAAAAATCGACCATTCTCGGTCGACGGCAGATTGCTCGGAAGCTGTGCTCAGGGAAGCACTTGATGCATAAAGCCGTTCATGCGATCCACCCAGTCATTGAAGTTGGTGTCCTTGATCAGCTCTGGTGGTGGGTCGCCTTGCTGTCTCGGTCGGTGTGATAATCCATCTAGACCATGCATGACTCCTGGGATGTGGACTAGTCGGAACTGGTACATGAGCATCGCAATGACCCAACGATTAGCGCTTGCACTCGGAGCAATGTCTGGGTTCTGCAACATGCCCTTAATGTACTTTGCATTCACTTCGACTATCAGGTTGCAAATGCTGATTAGATAGACCTTGAGTGCTCGCAATGCACGATATAGATCGTAGAGCTCGAGCTTCGATTGCGAAAACCTCTTCTCATGGTCGTTGAGCGTGATAGACCCAAACCGATTGAAAAACCACTTTTTCGATCTGTCAGTTGCACCTTGGCACAACTGATATCTGACTGCGATCAGAGACGTGTCCACTGCAAGAATAACTGGTGCTGACAAGTCGTAATCAATTGCTCGCAAAGCTGGCGACTCCAATAATGCCTGCTTCAGGTCTTCCATCGCTTTGAGCTGCACCTTGTCGAATTCGAATGAAACTCCTTTTTGAGTAAGCTGCACAAGTGAGTGCGCTCGCTTTGCAAAGTCCCTGATAAAGATCCTCGCAACTCCGATCGTGCCTAGAAAAGCTCGAACTTTCGATAGGTCCTTGCATGGGCCCCAATTTCTGACTGTCCAGACTCGCGATTCATCTGGCAATCATCCAATTGGAGTACACCTGTGTCCGACAACCGTGATCTCTTCGGCACATAGTGTTAACTTCGTTCCCGAGAAGGTACCTCCAGCATACTTCATTTGCTGCACAATGTGATTAAGATTCTGGAAGTGTTCCCAGATGAATCGTCAAATGCCATCGTTGCCTGCGATCATCTCGAAGCTTCCATCCAAATTGAGATATCTAGTCACTGGACCTTTGACTGGGACATCATCGATGTACGGCATGGTGAATGCAGGGATTTCTGATTGCAAAATGTACATGACATCATCGTGAAAGATCGGCACCGAGTTTGTCCATCTCATCGGAAGGGTGACGAGTCGCAAAGCACCAAAAGGCATCTGGAACATGGTGAGGTCACGTGATGTCTCCGCTATGAGTCTCTCATCGTATCCAACATATAGATCGAGCATGGCTCCACAGGCGTGACCGCTGAACTGCTCTGCTAGATGCTTTGAAGTCGGCGTAACTCCTGAGTGCTGGATTGTGATGACGTTAAGTGGTTCGAGACTGTGAACAAGTTGCAGAGACTTTTCATCCTTCTTTATGATGCAGAACCATCGCGATCGATATAAGAAGTTTGAGAGCTCGTAGACTCTGGCATCCAGCTTCTTCTTGATAATCGCGCAGACTTCCTTGTAAATGACCGGTGGAATCGGAATGTTCCGCTGAACCCATGGCTGATGTGGGATGACTGAAAAATCGATCGGTGGGAAATACTGCAACTTGAATCGTCCTTGCTCGGAATCGCTCTGATCGAATGCCTGATTGTGCAGACACATGAATGCGTGCATGAGAGCTTACTCTTCTGGCCATAAGAATTCTGGCTGGTGCACCACATCCAAAGCCTCCATGCATTCCTTCGTATAGTGACCGATTGGAAAGAATGGAGCCGGCCGCTCTGGAAGCTTAGATAGGTGTCGCAAAGGATCTCCAACGATTCGTCGAACGATTCAGAATTGCTCAGGTACCGATGCAATTACTGGTCAAGTTTTTAGCGTGACTGGCTTGTACTTTTTCTTGATCACAGCATAGCCTGCTCTCGAGCTTGACTCTAGATCACAATTGTGACCTACGATCATCTGTAGCAGTCACAAAGTCAAGGTTCGAGGGGTCAGTCAAAAATCTGAGGTGACTGTGTACAATGATGATACTGCATCGAGGGCCTGTCCTGAGGCTCGCAAATAGCTTGACTGAACAGAAACGGGATTGGAAGATATGACTGGGGAATAGGCTGATATAATAGGGGTATTTGTGCTGCTTACATCAATGATTACTGCCATTCCGCTGCTTTCGGTACTCATATCTTCCATTAGTGAAAACCCAGATCCTTCGATCACAAATGCTGTGCCCTGACTTGTGGTGGTCCTCTTGGTATCGTAGATATCATTGCGACTCTTCCTGTGTTGGGACATACGATTATAACTGTCTGATTCTCATCGAAGAAGTTGCGCACCACACTCTTGGTGAGCACGTCAAATGGTCGTCCTAAAAGAATATCGTATGCGGCTGTGCGAATGACGTGGATTTGCAAGTAGAGGACGATATCTCTGACTTGGAATGGTACGTTGCGAATGAGTCCGAGCGACTGGTCGACTTCTCCGTTCGCAGACTGCATGCTGAGCTTTATTGTCAGATCGTAAATAAGCTCCAGCGAGAGGCAGACATCTTCCGACATTGCGACAATCTGGCATCCTGGATCTAGGATCGCCTGTACTCGCTCCTTGTTGTCGATGAGGGCGACTATCGATCGCAATGCATGCGAGTCTTTTGCGACTGTCAACTGTTCTGGCTCTTCTCCAATGTGAACGTGCTTCAAGTAGGCATCATATGGATCAGGAATGACTGATCCCGTTGCTGCTAAAGGCTCCCCTTGACAGGTGAACTCTTCCTCCTGTCCAATTGTAGAACCGCTGTCTTCCGCATTCTCGAAGATCGTCGCCATTCCAGTCGCACCTGGAGGTACTACTCGCTTTGGTGTGCATGCTTCATGATACTTGTTGCGCACGTCTGGCAATATTGACAGCAACTCCTCCATGGACAATGTTACTGCTGATGACTTCATCGATCGCTCGAAAACTGTAGTCGCAAGCTCTGGCTGGTAGACTGGCGGTGCATTGCGATAAGCTGCATCTCGTGCTCCAGGCTTTGATGCTTGCCCGAAATTACACGTGTTCGGTGGAACATATACTGCGTCTCGGACTGATCGGTAAGGATGCTCTGGAACTGGGTCTGCGACTACTGGCATAGACGAACTCGGTGCGCTCTCAGTGGCCTTCTCTGGCTCCGCCTGAGGCTTCTGCTGTTCGGGTGCCTTCTCAGACTGTGCTGGCTTTGTGGCTGCTCCTGCCGGTCGCCTCAGTGGCATATGAACTCCGTCGAAGACTGGTCATGATCACTTTAGATTGAACAACTCTTGCTCCAGAGCTTCGATCCTATCTTCTGCACCTATCGAGAATGAGCTGGCTTTGTCTTCCAAGACCTCAAATAGATTCGCTGCTGAGACCGATGGCATGACTGGGGTCTGGTTGCGCCTGTGCCACTCATAAATCTGATCACGAATCGTGATGCCTGGAATTGTGTGAGGGATGAAGGTGCCGTTCGGTAGGACAACTTTTTCGGCTGCATTTTGCATGCACTTGCCGCTCTTTATGTCCTCCTTGACATGCTTGCATGTTCCAATCCTACCTCCGGCTTCTCCGCAATAGTGGCAGAATCCACTCGGATTTCCATTTGTGATAGGTGCTCTGCTTGCTGCTGCAGTTTGCCTCCCATTCTGCTTCGCAATTCCCCTCGTCGCAGCTGCTGTGAGCATCTGAACTGACTTGACCAAGCTTTTGATGAGCAAGGAAATATTCTCGCTCTTGATCACCGATGGGCTGCTAGTCGAAGCAGTCACATTTGGCTTTACTGTGGTCGGCCCTGTGCTAGTGCCGTGCAACACAAACTTTGCTGCCTCATAGACATCGTTTACCGAGTAGGGATCATCTGGATAATGGTCTGGCTGCTTCAGCTGTAGGCGTTGCGAAATCCGATTCCATAGCTCCGGTGAAAATCCTCGAACGAATGCGCGATTGCGTTCCGACTCCGAAATGTGAGTCTTTTCAATGAGAAACGAGGTGATGGCTAGGAACTCTCGATGATAGTTCCCTAGTTCGGTGATGGTCTGAATTCCCAGTCAGGCTCGCTTTCTGACTAAGAGATCCATGTCTCGCACTTTCCACTTTCACTCTGTATCTGCCCCTGGATACAGCTCCTGGATGGCTTGTCGCAAATCGACATAGGTCTTCGTTCGATCGGTATATTCAGGAAGTGACTCAACGAGATCGGCAACGTCTATATTGAGGTAACGTTTCATCCATAGCTTCTTTTCCGCTTCGGTGTTTACTTGGCAATGCATAAATAGGATTTCTAGGTTGTCGAAGAAGCGAAAGAGAGTTCTTGGCTGATCAGGATCGAAGGTAGGTGCCGATCGATCATCACAGAACAGCATCTGATTGGTTATTACAGTTTCCATCATAACTGTGGCTGTGATGGTCGATAAATTAGGTGTTTGAGATGGGTTCTTGACTGGATTCGATGCTTGTTCGGCTGCGAAAGCTGCTTCTAGCTCATCTAGAAGGGTTCTAAGCGGGATTTCTTGTGATGAAGCCTTGGAGATGTGTTCTGACTGGGCTTCTACTGTCGAAGACTCAGACGAATGGTGCGATAGCGGGGTAAGCGAACTAAGTGGACTGGGGATTCTAGAAGCTGGTGATGTCGATCACGAAGCTGAGGAACGTGTTTCGAATGATGGAGATGGTCGAAAATTGGCTAAGTGTGGTCGGCCTTCTTCTGCTCGCTCGAATCTGGCCCTCTGAAACTCGTGAAGTCACCTAAGTCTTGGATTGAATGACGAGAAGGCTTCTTCGTCCAATGTTTCACCTATTGTGGTAATCCCGACTCTGTTTCAAGGGGATACTGAACTCCTTCTTTGGTTTCTGATTGTAAGGCTGATCACTCAGTGCTGTGAAACTTTAAATCCTCTCCACCCCTCGCAGTGGGCTCCAGAAATGATATGCTCAACTGTGTCCTGGCCGTGAGCAGTGCTCCTAACCAAACCCCTACTGGTGGAAGGCAAACCAGGGCTCTGTCCATCCGCGATCCCTTTGGGCTACGGTCACAGGAAACTTTGGATGATAATGCAGTGACGGGTGGCTTTGAGTCGTTCGGCTGTGATGCTTGAAACTGAGTCAGATTGTCAAAGGTTCTGGATCGGTGAGTGTCAGACTCGACTGTAGGGAGGTTTCCTACCGGAAAACAGTCAAATGCTGGAATGCGGGGATGTGTGGATGTAGAATGCGATTGGTGACTCCTGTACTCGCGAACTGTAGTGGCTGAAGGTCTGGGCTGGGGCACGAGGACCTTCTATATCTGGAAAGTGCTGGTCAAGCACCGATGAGCAATCCCTAACTGCCTCCGAACTGGGTCAAGCACCGACGAGCAACCTCTAACTGCCTCTGAACTGGGTCAAGCGCTGATGAGCAACCTCTAACTGCCTTCGAACTAGGTCAAGCACCGACGATGAACCCCTAACTGCTTCTGAACTGGAACGAGCGCTGACGATGAAGCCCTGAGCACTTTCGAACTGGAATGAGCACCGACGATGAAGCCCTGAGTGCCTCCGAACTGGAACGAGTGCCGACGATGAACTTCTGGGTGCTAGCGAGGCTATGGGATCCGATGAGGATGGAATCTTGGTTTGAGACTCGTGACTGGTGATGTGCGAGCAAAATGCGATGGCGTGAGATACGAGAATGCGATAATGTGACTTATCTGGCTGAAACTCGAGTCGAGCTAGAGACCACTGCTGAGAGTGCTGCCTTTCTCGGTGTCGAGAATCCCAGAGATGTAAAATGTGATCACAATAGATGTAGACGTAGTCGGGCACGACGTCCTAGTGTAGACAAGATGAGAACTGAGCACTGCTGCATGGGGAACTTCGTCTAAAACTCTCTTATTATTCCTATGTACAGTGTAGATTATATAGTGGATCGGAAATGAGCCAGCTGAGTCACTGAAACATGTTTCCGATCATGCATTGTGTTTTCGATCCATTGAAACCTGTTGCAGAGCTCGTCCCTGCCCCCTCTCCATATCATACATTCGGTGAACTGGAAGTCCTGCCCTGCCAGGGTTCATCGGTCCACTACCCAGTCGCGTTCTGCTTTCACACTGCCTCTTGTAATTGGCTATGCTTCCTCGTGGCTCGCTCATTATTTTTGCGCCTCATGTTCACCTTCTGACCCCTTCATGTGGTGCCGTGTTCTCAGGCTGTCAGTAAGGTCTTCTTTGCTCACTTTGGACCATTCCGGCTCAGTGTTTGTCTTTCCAGATCGTGGCGACTTGCTATCCGATTGTGCAATAGTCGGACACAGTTTCTGGCATTTTCCGACTGCAGAATACCTCGGTGCGTATCAACATATTTGATTCCAGCCCCAGTCAGAATGGTGACAACAACCAACCTAATTGCGAGTCGAGCTGAAGTGTTGCCGAAGCGCCGTGAACAGGTCACAAGAATCCAGAACGCAGTCTACGAAGCCAGAAGAGAAGCAGCCAGATGATTCGAGCGAGTCCACAAGAATGCGATCAAGGATTTTGACTTCAAGCGTGGAGACCTAGTCTTGGTTCAGCATATGCAGGACAAGGCACTCAATCAGAAAATGAGACCGCACTATATTGGACCATATATTGTGCTGTTTTGCAATCGGGGAGGAGCATACGTGCTCTGCGAGTTGGATGGAGCAGTATTGGACTGACCAATTGCTGCATTCAGGGTGGTGCCCTTTGCGACAAGGAAGAAGATTGCAATCACAGAAGAAATGTTGAACGCATCGGAAAACAGATTGAAGGAGATGCACCAGGCGGACGACCAAGGAGAAGAGGAACCAGATGAAGAACAAGAAGATGAGGAGGCAGGGGAAGAAGATGAAGGACCGCAGGACCAGTACAATGCAAATGAGTCGGAATAGACAAGTATAAGGATTTGAACAAGACTATCGTATTCGGTGGCAAATTTCTTAATATTTCGGTCAGACAAGATCATGCAAGGCTTTTCGGCACACAGTTTATTCAAGATGACTAACTAATACACTTGCTCCACACGCGCGGAGGGAGAGATCACGAAAGAGATGTGAAGAAATATGTGGATGGCCCACTTTGCATCGCCTCAGCCCAAGCCCAGCACACCAATGAAGTCACGACTTGCGAGCCCTCAAGGCATGGTTCTCCTCGAGGAGCTGTTGTGAAAGCTCAATCATCTGCTCAAGTTGCGTACTAGCTGCAGAGGGCTTGATGACAGCTGTCAAAACGTGAATCAGCTCTGACTTCATGGTCGCAACCTTGGAGGAGCCCTTTGCATGAGATTTGCCTTTCGATGAGCATGGCTTGAGGACCTTGGTTGATGGAACAACGATGGTGTCAGTGTGGGTGTGCTGCATCATGATGTCATCAGGGTCAGAGTCTTCAAAGCGAGGACGCTTGGGAGGCCTGTCGAAATGATCTAAAGAAACTGTTAGCAAAGAAGTAATGATGCAGAAAAAAATATACCACGCAGTGGTGGAGGAATCACCAGCTTACAATGAGAAGGCCCGGCAGTGCCCTTCTCTTGCTTGACGGTCACAACCTCAGGTGCATCTTCAGCATCGAACTCAACATCGGGCTTGGGCATGTCGGGTAAGGTATGGGCCAGACCTGGAGGGAGGTCAGTTAGCCAGGAACAAAATGAGAAAGGAAGGGGGCCTATGAAGGCATGGGGTCAGAGCAATCGCAGTCTCATATTCATCAATCGGTGTGTCCAGCGAAAGCTTGAGCTCTGCAGCATAATCACTGCCGGCAGTGTTTGCATCATGCATCTGCTTGTCGTAGTCACCCTGGTGACTGGAAGCCTTCGCAATCACTGAAGCATCTGACATCTTGGGCAGTGGCCAGTCCCTTTGATGGTACAGCTTCTTTAGTGAAAGCCAGCCATCAGCATCGTCAATGTCAGAGACCGTATCGCACATTCACCACTTGCAGGCCTTGTGGTCATGGTGACACTTGCGGCATTTAGGATGAAACTCACTTAACGTGCAAGTATGAGACACCTTGTCAGAAAGAAGGCAGTAGTGACACTAGAAAGAGGAGTTAGCAATGGAAAAGCGTGGGCCAGGCAAGCACTTACCAAAAAAGCGATAGATGGCTTCTGCCAAGCTGGAAGATACTCTGAAGGAAGGGAGCGATCACAAAAGATGCACACAGGCATGTGCACATACTGGTCCTCTGAGGTCGTAGTCATTTTGGAAGCTTTGATAGACTTGCGACTGCGGCCCTTGCCCTTCTTCAAATGCACTGAAGACAAGTTGGGGATCGTGCCACCTATGAACTTGACCTCGTCACTGTCACTGTCATCCTCATTGTTGCTGGAGAGCTCGATGGTCTCGGAGACATGTGCAGAGGGAAGTTTATTGACCATGGTAGCGAGTGGAGAATCAACCTCCATGGCTGCAGTATCGGAGTCAGAAGGAGGGTTGATAGTGACCGGGTTGGCTGCACGAGCCTGAAACTCGAACTTAGGGACAGGATCACCAAGAGCAGCAGAAGCCATGACAGGCATGGCCACCACAGAAAAAGAGGCCAGAGCAACTGAGAGAAGAGTATCGTCGACGCCGGTGGAAGCGGTTGGAGAGTCAGAGGCCGCAACCTCCCCAGTATCAGAAAAAGTATGTGCAAAAGCCTCAGCCACTGGAGGGGGGCTCAGTTCCTAGAGAGATTCAAAGGATCATGTTAGTAGAGGACAAGAGATCACAGTCCAGCACACGCACCTTGTTCACTGAGAAGGCAGCAGCCCGCTCAGGCGAGATCAACTCTGCGCACCACGATAGCCACAACGGTTGAACGAAGGAGTCAAGATGCACCTGGGCTTTTTGGCAAGACTGGGTATAGCGTGTTTGCAATACCAAGTCTGAAAAGGCACGAAGATCATGCTAGAGAAGGGAGCAAGTTAGCCAGCTGCGAGTACGACAGAGCGTTCATTTACCAGGGCAGAAAGGAACTCACGTATCAGGAATTCAGAATCCACAGCTGGATCTAGAGGCTCTGCCTCATGCAACACCTTCCAAGTGGAGTAAATGACGCCCATGACAGCATCCTTCGAGTCCGCCGCCTAGGTGTCAAGGAAAGAAGTTAGCGCTGCAAAAAGCTCAAAAGGTTTAGAGGACAGGCGTACCTTGTGTGGAGAAGTGACTGGAGTTGCAGGACATTGAGAGGATGATGGAGTAGTGGGGTCACCCATCAAGGAGCTGAGAGATCAAGGAAGAGGGAGAGGTGAGTTAGGCGCCATTGCAGAAAATTTTAAACTGGCCAAGCTCAAACACGTGAACACGTCGTTAAAACCTCGCGGTATCATCCTCTACCATGCGGTAGAGCCAGTCGGCTTTCTCAGGAGGCTGGTTTTAGTGACTCAGACAGAACTTCTATTGCAGGACCAAAATGCGAGCCAACTCTGATCGAAGCCACTCAAAAACAATGGATTCACGGCACCACGCCAGAGGCGAACGCAGTCGGACTATTGTACATGAGAAAGCGGAGTATACGAAGGACAAATCGAGATGATTTTAGGCTACACGGCTTGCCCATTCATGGCCAGGAAGGTCTTCAAGAACTGGAGGCACTCACAAATGCGAGTCACCTCCACAACCAGTCACGTGCACTCCTGTTTATAGATCTTGACCAACAGGGCATTGGGAATGGCCAGCCCACGAACTTTGCTAAGAATTCTCTCAGTCTCTGCAAGTGAGTTGGCATCTGTGATCATGAAAGGGACAACATCAGTATGACAGTATTTGCGATCGAAAGAAAAGAGGAACGTACTAGCAGGAACCTGAACAAATGAGCACTTGAGGTGCAACATTTGGCAGCAAATGCAAGCCTGCCCACTGTGGTCAGAGGGCATGATCATACAGTCACTGTCCACCAGGCACTTGGAGCACTGATGGCCGGAGCGTAAGCAATGAGCCAAATATAAAGAAAGCGACCAGACACACCCTGGTATGCGACCACGGCTTGCTGAAGCTCAGAAATGCGACCTGCACACACTTTGGGAGAGTGTGGATGGTGACGTAGTACTCGCACAGTGTATCTGACTCGGAAGACTTGGTGGTAACCACGGACAATGCTGTACTCACGACTCATGCCGAACGTGACTGCACCCTCGGAGTCGCTGCAACAACTTCAGGTTCATGCTTGACCGCATCCTGAAGAATCTCTGCCATAGCATGAGACACAGCGGAAGAAGAAGGAACGTGTCAGCTATCATAGTCTATTCACCAGCAGTCAATCGGGATGGTCTGCCCAAGGAATGTACGGTCGTGCCGATCTACAAAAATGTCATTTGCCATGTACGCCATTAAGAAGTGGTCGCAAGTATGGTCGCGACCTTCAGGAAACTTGTCAAAATCACCATGGTCTGCAGCCTCGACGATCTCTTGCATGATCTCAGCCATCACAGCAGGAGAACGACTTGGGTCAGCAGTCCCGACAGCCTCAGAATAACCTCTCAGGGAGGAAGGGACTACTGCTGGGATCCAATCAAAGTCAGGGCTTGCATTCAGCACAAGCCAGTCATACACCAAATTGACCTCATACAGCAAACCCTTGGCACGGTTCAGATAGTCACAGGTCATGCATAACTGGAAGGCCGCAGTGCTAACCGTCAGAAGGCAGATTGCGACACGGAATATTTACCTCGTAAGCGAAAAATGATGTGGCCCAGCCCTGCCAGATCAACGCATGAGCATCAGGAGTGGGCGACATGAAAACGAGATTGTCCAGGTGCTGCAGTAGCAAAATGCAAGCACCGTCAATGGGATAGAGACTGTGAGCGTGAGTAGCAAGGCTGAAGACACCATCAGTGTGGGACATAGCGGTGAAGAACTGGGAACCGACAGCCAGGTCATGCTATCTAAAAGTATGCAAGCCTGATGAACTGAGGACAGTCCAGATCTCAGAATGGGGAAGATGATATGCACTGAGATATTCTGTGATCAAAAAATGCCAGAAACTGTGTCTGACTATCACACAATCAGATAGTGAGTCGCCACGATCCAGAAAGACAAACACTGAGCCAAAACAGTCCAGAGTGGGCAAAGAAGACCTGACTGATAGCCTGGGAACATGGCACTGCATGAAGGGGTCAGGAGGTGAACATGAGGTGTGAAAATAACGAGCGAGCCACGAGGAAGCATAGCCGATTACAAGGTGCAGCGTGAAAGTGGAATGCGACCGGGTAGCAGACTGACAGACCCTGACAGGGCCAGACTTCCAGTTCACCAAATGTATGATATGGGGAGGGGGCAGGTATGGGCTCTGCGACAGGTTTCAATGGATCGGAAACACAATGTATGATCAGAAACACGTTTCAGTGACTCAGCTGGCTCATTTCTGATCCACTATATAATCTACACTGTACATAGAAATAATAAGAGAGTTTTAGATGGAGTTTTTCCCATGCAGCAGTGCTCAGTTCTCATCTTGTCTATGCTAGGGCATCATGCCTGACTATGTCTATGTCTATTGCGATCATATTCTACATGTCTGGGATTCTCGACACTGAGAGAGGCAGCACTCAGAGCAGTGGCCTCTAGCTCGACTCGAGTTTCAGCCAGATAAGTCACATTATCGCATTCTCGTATCTCACGCCATCGCATTTTGCTCGCATGCCACCAGTCACGAGTCTCAAACCAGGATTCCATCCCCATTAGATCCCATAGCCTCACTAGCGCCCAGGAGTTCATCGTCGGTGCTCATTCCCATTCGAAAGTGCTCAGGGCTTCATTGTCAGTGCTCGTCCCAGCTCAGAGACAGTTAGGGGTTGCTCATTGGCACTTGACCCAGTTCAGAGGCAGTTAGGGGTTGCTCATCGGCACTTGACCAGCACTTTCCAGATATAGAAGGTCCTCATGCCCCAGCCCAGACCTTCAGCCACTACAGTTCGTGAGTACGGAAGTCGCCAATCGCATTCTACACCCACACACCCCCGCATTCCAGCATTTGACTGTTTCCTGATCAGAGGCGTCCATACAGTCGAGTCCGACACTCACCAATCCAGAACCTTTGACAATCCGACTCCGTTTCAAGCATCACAGTCAAATGACTCATGGCTGCCCGTCACTGCGTTATCATCTGAAGTTTTCTGCGATCATAGCCCAAAGGGACCGTGGACGGACAGAGCCTCAGTTCACCTTCCACCAGTAGGGGGTTTGATTAGGAGCGCTGCTCATGGCCAGGACGTGGTTGAGCATATCATCGTATCCTCTTATCATAGATGGAAGGCTCACTGGTATCAAGATGCATGAACTTGGTGGCATCGTGTGGACCGTATGGATGAAAACTGGTGCCCCCTTCTTCCCAAGCTTGTGGAGGCTTATCTCTGCTGGCAGGAAAACTCGTTGTCATCATGTCACAGCCATTTCCTTGAAGAATCACTATATGACTTCGACATCGATGTACTTGACATGTACACTCTCATATCCTCAATTCACATTCACCATTGCGAGGACATCAACTCACCTGCAGAAGCTCTCATCCTCAATGGCTACCTCGACACTACACCTGCTTCCCCCTTCCTTGCTATTTCATTCAAGATGCTGGAACTCTTCCACTGCATTTGACTTTTCAAGGCTTCCTTTAGCATGGAGGCCTGCACGAAGTTTTTGTGCCACTACTATAAGGTATGCTATTGTCTCATTCTAGAGATGGCTTGCTAATGGTTCTTTACAGTGCCTGCAAGCTCATCGAGAAGTCTCTCGGGAGGGACTCACTTAATTAACGTGTACTCAATGCATGCCCGGCATGTGCGTATGAGGTACAGTGACTCACAAAACTGTTGATAAGATTGCTTACCTTGACTTGTATAGTAAATATCTCCTCAACCCCTGGGTTGAATAAATTGCCTAAGAGCCCATTTGAAATCCTATCATCGTGGCTTCCCAATGCAACTCTGTTTACATTTTTAACCTATTTTGATTCCAAGATATTGGATACTCTTTGAGGGCCACTCTTATCAACAGTTTTGTGGCACACACATAAGCTCTCAGAAAATTGTGATTTTTGATGTGTTGACAGGGTTCCTTGTGGAAATATTAATTGGATGTTTATGTTTCAACATGAACAATATACAAACAGCCATACACAACTGTTCACACTCAACCAATATCATGCCAAAAGCTGTTGCTACTGAAACTGTTAACCATGTCATCGCTTTGCTTCAGAATGGCAAATTTCTTCAAGAATTGAAGCTTTGACTGGGATACACTATTCTACCATCAGTAAACTGTGCTCCACACACTGCCCCACCATTCCTAAGGCCAAAGGAGGGTGTCCTTCCCTTCTTACTACTGCCAATCTTTGCTATGCTACTCGACTTATTGAGACTGGCAAGGCTACCACATCTCCTGCTGTGGCCAGAGCTCCTGAAGATGTTACTGAGAGGGTTGTCAATGCAGAGACAGTGTGAAGAGGGTTGAAGAAGGCAGGAATGAAGGCTGTAGTGAAGCGAAAAAGGCCTTTACTCTCTGCAAGGCATCAAAAGGAGAGGATGAACTTCGCTTTGGCTCACCAGTATTGGACTGTAGAGGACTGGAGAAGGGTGGTATGGTCAGATAAGACAAAGATTCACAGGATGGAATCAGATGAAAGGAAATGGATGTGGAAGAAGCTGGGAGAGAGCCTCAGTGATAGGTTGGTGAAAGGGACCCAGAAGTTTGAAGGTGGATCCTTGATGATGTGAGGCTGTATGGGCTGGGATGGTGTGGGGTATGCCTGCAAGATTGATGGCAGGATGGATGCAGACCTTTATGTCAGCATTCTGGAGGATGAGCTGCAGAATAGCCTGGAAAATTGGGGCAAAACTGTGGAGATGTGGTGTTCCAGCAAGACAATGACCCCAAGCACACCAGCAAGAAGGCCAAGGATTGGTTCAAAGACCATGATTTCAACCATGATATGGCCCTCTCAATCCCCAGATCTCAATCCCATAGAGCATCCGTGAGGTCACCTCAAAAGGAAGCTTGCAAAGTATCAGGATCCACCAAAGAGAATTACTGAGTTGTGGGAAAGGGTAGAGAAGGAATGGGAGGCTATTGGAAAAGAAGTGTGTCAGAATCTGATTGAAAGTATGCCAAGGAGGGTGGATGCAGTTGTGAAGGCAAAGGGAGGCTATACCAAGTACTGAAAGTATGAGTTTTGTAGAACCTGAATATGTGCCACAAAACTGTTGAGAAGAGTGGTCCTCAAAGAGTATCAAATAACTTGGGATCAAAATATGCTACAAATATAAAAAATCGGCATTGGAAAGCCATGATAATAGACTTTCCAATGAGCTCTTATGCAATTTATTCAGCCCAGTGGTTGAGGAGGTATTTACCATACAAGTTGAAGTAAGCAATCTTATCAACAGTTTTGTGGGTCACTGTATGTCTTAGTCGACTGCATCATTCTTTAATTTTCACAAGGTTCATTGAAAAGCTCAAAGGTGAGCCTAAGCTATGATGGTGCTGTATGTTCAGCATGGATGGCAACAACTCCCTCAAGCGAATCGCACAAGTCAGTGAATGTCACCGAGGAGATACATGAGTCTTCGAAGAAAGTGATTATTACCTGCCAGACAAGTTCATCAACCACTTTGCTGGTGAGGTCAAGGGTGACGCATGCAAGCAGCAAAGCAATCATGTCAGCAACTCATTGCAAGATGACGTCGATGGTGACACAAGCGACAAAGAGGATCAATATGACAATGAAGAGGGCAACTCCACGGATGGTGCAGATGAAGTCACATCATTCATGAAGAACTGAAAAGCAGCTGCGTCGGAAGGTAAGAAGTGAATGTGGGGTATATTCGAGGAGACAGGAATATTTGCAAGTGCATGCCATCATGGCTTTATCTTATGGATATGCGACATGATGAGGAGCGGTGAACTGTAAGTTATATCTTTGGATTGCTATAAGCTGAGCTAACTATGTGACTCAAAGTGCAAAGTATCCACTCACGATAATAGCTAAGATGGTTGCCATTCTCGAAGATTGAAGCCTGAGACACTATAACATTGGGTGCAGCTTCGAAGAAACAATCAAGTGAAGCTCCCTCGATCCTGAATGGCAGTGGCTGCTGTGCTGCATGATCATCAATGCATTCCATAGATATACACACAACTATGCATGTCAGACCAAGAATCACCCAAATGTCATCAAAGGGACAGGCCTCAAAGACGGTGAGACTCTCAAACACATGTTTAGTGCATCGAACAGTCTTGCTCCAGTGACTCGGTATGCCTCTGCTTACCGTCGACATGTCTACATCGATAAGTACTTCTGTTAATGGGATGATGAGAAGTACGTGAGCCTTAGCATGATGATCTACAATAATTATATTCAAGCCCTCAATGTCATCGAGATGGAGTCCATTGCTGTTGTCAAATCGATGCAATCACTAGATGTCAAGAAAGAAGACCTTGTGCAGTGGCGTGCAGAAGAGCACCACTACTTTCAGACTCTCAGACAGGAGTCACTCTGGGATGTATATGTGGTGGCATATCTTGAGAAGTTACAGGAGTGGCGAAGCGTACATACTCAAGTTGAGACCAATGCAGGTCTCTTCCTCACTTCCATTCAATCTCACTATACATTCATCTTACCGACTGCTGAAAATGTTGACTACTATGCTGAAGTTTCACGTACACAGAAGCTGGAGACAAGGTGTTGATATCTTGAGGAACGCGAGCATACCTTGTCGCTGATATGCTCAACTGCACTCTGGCTGCCAGCTACCTCCTATCCCTTCAGGGAAGATAGATCAGAGCTGTCCATCTCCATTCACCTTGGGCTGCAGTCACAGGAACTTCAGCTGATAACGCTTTGAGGGGTGGCTGTGAGTCATTCGGCATTGTGCTTGAAACAGAGTGATGAGTGGTGATTCAGACTAGAGGAGTGTCCCTGACTCTAGATGAGTTGAGAAGAGGATAGGATGTGCAGATCAAATAAAGGGGACAGGACATGCTTCAGATGAATGGGTTGTCGAGGATCGAGGATCGAGTGGTGATGTGGGTCTCTGGCTGACTAATCTTGTGGCTTGGGCACTATATGCAGCTCTCCCCAGCACTACAGAGGGGGTTTGGGCACTCTCTAGATCTCTGGGACATCTATGCAGCTCTTCCCAGCACTAGGGATGAGACCCTGGTGCTTGCTGAGGCTACAGAGTCTGATGGGGATGGGAATCCAAGTTGCTAGAGCTCATGACTGGTGGTGTTGAGAGGGAAAATGAGGTGGCGTGAGGAGAAAAATGTGATAACGTGACTTTACTGGGCACTTTCCGAGTTGTGCGGTGAGCCACTTATGAGTAGTGCTGCCCGGTGCAGTTTCAAGAGCTAACTAGACATGATATGGAGATGTAGACAAGTGAGACTGAATAGGGCATGCTGCCCTATCAAGAATATGTCGTAGAACTGAAATCTGAAGGGTGAACTCCTCGTTGTTTTTGTGATAGGTACATAGGCCATTATATAGGTGTAGAATAGCTGTCACAGATTTTCACCACAAAGTCCACACGTGACTTTACTCACACCACAGATCACGTGCTTCACCAATATCCCACACCACTCAGCCACAGACGCGACATGTAGGGATCAGGTGATAGTCTACATCACATGTTATGGTCCAGACCTGTGGATGATATGGTCAGACCTGTCTATTCCAGGATACAATAGAGGCACCCATTTGGAAACAAAGGGAACAAGGACTATTGTTACGCATTGGCCCTCCGCTTCCTATTAGTTTAGCCAGAAGCCAGATAGGCATGATGTTCTCACCGGAGAACAAAGGGAAAACAAGATAGGCACAATGTTTGCACACGCTGCTGTGGCAGCCATCGATCTTTCCACTTATTGTTCTACTTCCGGACATTCCATTGTTTCATGTACGGCCATTAGCTTATACCCGTAGATAGGTAGCTTAGGTAAGATAGCCCGCTGTACATGTATATAAGACCAGCATGTAGAGGAGGAAACCTCAGATTGTTTTTCCTCGTCTACTACCCAGTCGACTACTGAGCTTTCCAAGCTCCACTATATATCTATAATCTTTCAGACACTTGCTTCACAGCTAGTGAGTGTTAGGCTCTTTAGCCACCTTTAGGGATCAGGGGAATCAGGGCGTCACGTTCCACGTGACCATTCTTTTGTGACATCAGAAACAATCTGACATTTTCTGCACCCCTGCTTAGTGTTCAACACAAGTGGCCACGTATTTTCAGTGCAAGCAGTTTCAGCTGTAGCACGCAGCTTTTTTGACATACATTTCAACCCGACTTCTACCAGGCGTGAGCCTCAGCAAGACACTGAGCAGCCCAAGGCAGCAAAGCGCAAGGTCACCAAGGCAGAAGATCCATTCGCCGGCTACAAATGCCTCGAAATCAACAAGGAGCGAGAAAGGCTCCTCACTCTAGCTTCACTAGGCACATCCTCTACAGACAGACAGTGCGCGGTGGCCAGAGTTGTAGACACCACACATATCAGGGTCCAAGGCATCATTCGCCAACCTCGCAGTCACACTCCCCCACTTGAATGCTACAAACTCAGAAGAGGATGCCTCACTACAGATGGTCGGAAGCCCAGACCTCCCCCAGAGATCATTACCTCCAATGCCGTTCCTCCCACAATCATCGCCCCACAGCCAGTGCGACCCCTACCCAACTTCATCAAAGTCAACACACACGCATGACCCATCTGCCCTCTTTCATCCAGAATCAGGCCCACCATCCATATCGAAACACTTAAGAAGCAGGTCTCAGCCACCTGCTTCAGATTGCAGCTGATACTAGGAGCATTCTGGGAAAGGATCGATCAGGACAAATGAAAGAAGGTACAACTCCTCGCATCAGAGTTGGACAAGGTCTGCGCAGACCTATACATGAGAACTCGTGAATACACCTTCATCGAGAAACAAGTCGTCAATATGTGCTGCCTGGAGATAGGCAGGATCAACTTCAGGGAGATAGAGAAATAGCAGAGGTTGAACGAGATCATCAGGGAGATTGGCAAAGTCAAGGACAAGCAGTACCTAGGCTTTATTTTTAACTAGACACATTTCTATCCACACAATGTCAGAATCTGGACGTGCACAAATGTTGACATTTGCACAAAGAATGCAGGACATCATGCATCCAAACATTGAGGCACATGATGGAAGCACACCTCGTGCTTCTAGACAAGCATCACCGGAGCTAACACCACAAGACTCTGCATCACAACTTGGAGGACCACCATCCCCAACTCCATCACTCCTCCCTGCCTACATACCCCCTGCATGGTCTTATGACAGGCACCAGTACGAGCATCTCGAAGATGCTATCAGGCAATCTGCACTCGGCGAAGTACCTGAATGGGTAATCATCGTCATGAAGTCACTGGTCGATAACGAGCTCAAGAAAATGTACAATGTACTCGGCGATAAGATGTACGAGCACAAAAGAATTTTTGAGGCCTCAATTGCATCAGCTCAAACAGAGCGACGACTCAAGGAAGCAGTACTCAAGTCTGAGAATGAGAAACTCTCAGACAGAATAAAGGTCCAGGATGCACACATGATCGTCCTTAATGACGAAATTACCAGTACCCAGGCAGCCATGCTAGACATGGGGAAGAAGATGATGGAACTAGGCAGCGAGAACACCAAGCTGCGTCATGAGTTAGCTTCACTCAAAGCAAGCGATGTCGCAATGACGCAAGGTCACACCTCTGGCATGGTCCAAACTGCACGTCAAGATAGCCGAACCTCCACACTACTTAGGCAAAGGAAGTCTGGAGGACTGGCTCCAACAACTCAGCATCTGGATGTGGTGGAATAAGATCAACGATGACAAATGCAAGATTACCACAGCACTGCTGCACTTAGAAGGAGGTGCATTCACTTACATGTCAGAATATGCAACAAAGGCAGCAGCACGGCAGGCACTCGGCACTTGAAAAGACTTCGTCGACATTTTCAAGGTCAACTACAGGACCCTCGACCTGGACAAAGATGCGCAACAGCACTTGAAGGAGATCTGCACAAAGACCTACCCAACCATGGTCTCCTTCGCAGAACAGTTCTGTCAATGGACCACTAAGACCAACTTAGGGCACACTGCACTCATCGGTTACATCGCTGAACATCAAAGCAAGGACGTACGCCAGGCAATGGTAACTCGAGATAGCCTAGGGATCGCAGATCCGATCACATGGCCAGAGTACCTCAACCTCTGTCTCCAACTCGAATCCAAGTTCAGGGCCGACAAGGCAGGACAGCACGGAATGGCAATCATATCATCATTGACACCAAGAGCCCCAAAGGATCCTAACGCAATGGTTGTGGACCGAGTGTCTCAACTCACTAAGGAACAAGAAGGCTGGCTGGAGAGAAAACTCTGCGTACGTTGTGGAAAGCATCCCTTCGTATTCAAGCAGAAGTGCCCTGACCCCAAGTACAAAGGCAAACTAAAAATGCCCAGACGGGGACAAGCAACAAGTAAAATATTGACACCAACAGCATCAAGCAGTTCTGACGATGGCAAGGCAAGGAAAGAAGCAGTCCGTGCCTTCCTCGCCAGCTATGACGTGAAGGAAAAGGATAAGGAGGCGGAACTGGAACCAACTGTCAAAGCAGCTAGGATCACGGAGGTGAAAAGTGACGAGGACTTTCTTCGGCGGGTTCTCTGAGGTCTGGCCAGAGTTCTCATAAACATTGTAACAGTACCTACTCGCTCTCGCATGTACCAGTTTCAGATTTTCTATATATTGCATCAACTGGTTCGTCAAATCATGCGATCGATTTACCTGTTCACCTCAAATAGGGAGTAAGGAAAGCCCAGACTGAGGTGCTCCTCGACTCAGGAGCATATTCTTGTTACATCAATCCATGGCTGGTTGATAGGTTGAATCTTGCTATGATCTCTCTCGAGAAAGAGATCAGGGTTTACAATGCAGATGCATCACACAACAAGGGTGGAACCATTAAGAAAAGGGTTCTTCTAAGTATAACTATCGGAAACCATACAAGCAGACAGAGCCTTCTTGTCACCGATATAGGACACGAAGATATTATACTAGGCATGAGTTTCCTCAAAGAGCACAATTCCAAAGTGGATTGGGGAAAACTTACCATTGAGTTCACCCGATGCCCACAATGATGTGCACCCTCACAGGTAGCAGTCCAGGAGGAGGACCTGGAAGACACAAACATCCCCCACATTGAAGATCTAATGGAGTTCGTCAGTTCCCAGAAGTTAGGTGACACTTGGAATGACATGGACAGCTTCATTAGATGGGTGTCATTATCAGAAGACCCTGATGCACAGGCCATAGCATCACTTATCATGGGTCTTGAAACCAAGAGGAATCAGGATAGAGCACCGCAAAATAAAGAACAGGACAAAGACTACTGGTCAGCCTATGTCCCCAAACACTTCCATGAGTATGGCGATGTGTTCTCCAAGAAGCAGTTGGAACGAATGCCCACCAGAAAGCCTTACGATCATCCAATCGAACTTGTTTCAGAGGCATCGTTACCATGCCTGGCAAAGTTATATCCTATGAACCTACAGGAAAGAAATTCGCTCGACACGTGGATAGACCAAGAGTTGGCCAAAGGATACATCAAGAGATCAAGGAGTCCAACAGCAGCACCCGTCTTCTTCATCAAAAAGAAAGATGGCTCACTGAGATTAGTACAAGACTACAGGAATCTCAACGCAGTAACAAAGAAGAACAAGTTCCCAATCTCACACATTTCGGACCTCATCAACAGACTCTCACAAGCTAGCATATTTACAAAGCTTGATCTGAGATGGGGTTTCAACAACATAAGGATTCAGGAAGGAGACGAAGAAAAGGCTGCCTTCATCACACATTGCGGCCTCTTCGAACCCACAGTAATGTACTTCAGTTTCTGCAACGCTCCTAGCACCTTCCAAACAATGATGAATACAGTCCTCGAGGACTTGATTCGCACTGGAAAGGTGGTAGTTTACTTAGACGACATCCTCATCTTTACGGACGATCTTGAAGAACACCGACGACTAGTAAAAGCAGTTCTACAGTGCCTCCGGGACAACGACTTGTATGCCAAACCAGAAAAATGCTTTTTTGAACAGTCCTCAATCGAGTATCTTGGCATGATCATCAGCAAGAACTCGATACAGATGGACCCTGCTAAAGTCGAAGGTGTCCTTGGCTGGCCAGCACCTACTAAGGTCAAACAAGTACAGGCCTTTTTAGGATTCGCGAATTTCTACAGGTGATTTATAAAGGACTTTGCGAAACTTGCAAGACCTTTAACACTTCTCACCTGTAAGGACGTGCCCTGGCAATGGAAGGAAGAGCAAGACCAAGCCTTCAGTGCACTCAAAATGGCATTTACATCAGCCCTGATCTTACAACTCCCCAACGACACTGCACCATACCGTCTAAAGACCAACTCCTCAGACTACGCAACTGGAGCAATACTCGAACAACTGGGAGAAGACAAGCTATGGCATCCAGTCACATACTACTCCAAATCACTCAACGAACATGAGAGAAACTATGAGATTTACGACAAAGAGATGCTCGCAATTATTTGGGTGCTGGAAGAATACTGGCACAATTTAGAAGGACACCCAGAACTCATTGAGATTTGGTCAGATCATCTCAACCTTACATACTTCTGCCAAGCACAGAAGTTATCCCGGCACCAAGCGTGCTGGGCATTATTCCTCACACGATTCAATTTTATACTTAGTCATTGACCTGGAAAGACTATGCTACGTGCTGATCCTCTGTCTAGGAGGCCAGACCATGAAAAGGGGGTAGACAGCAACAATTCAAACCAAATGCTGTTAAAACCTAAATTTTTTGCTATCAATGCGATTCAACCCGCTCATGCATCTGAAGTTGATGATGCTCAACTACTGGAAAGGATCAAGAAGGCACTCACAGATGACATGATGACCAAGGATTATCATGCGCTTTTGACTACAGAACAGCACAAATTTAGGAAAAACCTTGTGGAATGAAACTTCGAGCACGGACTGCTGCTCCACCGCGGAAAGGTTTATGTCCCTAAGGATCAACAGCTATGCCTTGACCTAATAAAACTCCATCATGACACATTACCAGCCAGACACCCAGGCAGGTTCAAGACATTGGAGCTCATTACTCAGAACTATTGGTGGCCAGGAATGTCTGTAATGGTTAAGAAATACGTACAAGGTTGCGACAGTTGTCAACGCAATAAGTACTCGAGAGAAAAACCACATGGACTACTACAACCCAATAATGTACCAGGAGGACCATGGGAGATTGTCACCATCAATCTCATCACTCAACTTCCTCCAGCCATGGACTTTAGGGGAGAAAAGAAGACGGCAATACTTGTCGTCGTAGACAGACTCACGAAGCGAGCGCACTTTTATGCGACAGACGATACAGTTACCTCGTCGCAAGTCACTAACATATTCTATAATGAAGTCTTCAAACTCCACAGATTACCTCACCAAATCATCTCAGACAGAGGTACTCAATTTGCGAGTAAACTATTCCAGGAGTTTTGCCAGAAGCTCAGTATAAAGTCTACAATGTCTACAGCATATCACCCCCAAACGGATGGCCAGACAGAAAGGGTTAATCAGGTGTTGAAACAGTATCTACGCATGTACTGTAACCACAGAAAAATGATTGAGTCTACTATCTGCCAACAGCAGAATTCTCATACAATAATCAGACCCATGAGTCCACCGCACTTTTCCCATTCTTCGTTGAATATGGCCGGCATCCAAAAATGGCACCCGACGTACACAAATCAATATGTCATCCTTCATTGAAACACCTATTCGCTCACCGATCTGAGGCACAAGAACAGGCAAAGGCAGCACTGGAAGTTTCAGCTTCACGGATGAAATGGTACTTCGACGAGAAAAAGGGAGAAGTCCCATTCAAAGTCAGAGACCTAGTACTACTCAAAGGGAAGGATCTCAGAGTAAAAGTCAAATCTGCAAAGTTAGGCACACAAAACTTCAGACCTTACAAAGCACTTCAGAAGCTAGGCCCAGTCACATTCAGACTAGAGCTGCCCAAGCAAATGAAGGTCCACCCGGTCTTTCATGCTAGCAAATTGATCATGTACCATCACGACATGGTCGCAAACCATGAGCCCCCAAAGCCCCCAGCTATAGAAATTGAAGGAGAACCAGAATTCGAAGTTGAAGAAATCCTAGACTCTAAGGTCGTGAGGGGAAGGGTCCAATACCTCGTTAAATGAAAAGGCTATGACCATTTCGATGATACATGGGAACCCCAAACAAATCTCACCAACGCCGATGAGCTTCTTCAAGAATTCCACCAGCAACACCCAGATGCACCCAAGGCACCAATCAGGGTTGTCACATTTGGTGGAAAACGCTTCAAACTGTCCTCATATGAAGTTGCCCCAAAATCCACTCACAGAATCAAAATGTTCGACCACCCAGATGAGTTCTTCCTATACCACAAGATGACAGACCTTGCCAAATCACCAAAGAAATCCTCAAGTGAGGCAGCCGGATGGAATATTTTTGCAGCAGAAATGCATGAAATCCCTCCACATTCACGAGCTGTGATAGAAAAAAAAAAAGTTGCCATCGACCCTCCTAAACACACCTATACATGAATAGCTCCATGAAGCAGACTGGCTTCTTGAGGAATTGACGTGGGCGCAGGAGTCATTGACCCAGATTACACTGGAGAACTTAAGGTCATACTAATCAACACAACGGATTTCATATTTTCGGTCAAGCCAGGAGATAGGATAGCCCAGATAATATTCGAGTATTATGCAGAAGGGCTTCCCTCCAGAAGCTATCAACCATTACGAGCAACAAGAAGAGGCAATAAAGGTTTTGGCTCCTCGAGACAATGAGCCTTGAGAGGGGGGTAGTGTCACAGATTTTCACCACAAAGTCCACACGTGACTTTACTCATGCCACAGATCACGTGCTTCACCAATATCCCACACCACTCAGCCACAGACGCGACATGTAGGGATCAGGTGATAGTCTACATCACATGTTATAATCCAGACCCGTGGATGATATGGTCGGACCTGTCTATTCCAGGATACAATAGAGGCACCCATTTGGGAACAAAGGGAACAAGGACTATTGTTAGGCATTGGCCCTCCGCTTCCTATTAGTTTAGCCAGAAGCCAGATAGGCACGATGTTCTCACTGGAGAACAAAGGAAAAACAAGATAGGCACGATGTTTGCACATGCTGCTGTGGCAGCCATCGATCTTCCCACTTATTGTTCAACTTTCGGACATTCCATTGTTTCATGTACGGCCATTAGCTTATACCCGTAGATAGGTAGCTTAGGTAAGATAGCCCACTGTACATGTATATAAGACCAGCATGTAGAGGAGGAAACCTCAGATTGTTTCTCCTCGTCTACTACCCAGTCGACTACTGAGCTTTCCAAGCTCCACTATATATCTATCATCTTTCAGACACTTGCTACACAGCTAGTGAGTGTTAGGCTCTTTAGCCACCTTTAGGGATCAGGGGAATCAGGGCGGCACGTTCCACGTGACCATTCTTTTATAGTCTTTTGATCTCTTGTCTAGCGTCGCTGTGACAATAGCACCTTCTAATGTAGTAGAAGTCATTTCCGATCCTTGTTCGCATTTTTGATCCTTTGAAACAGTCCAAAAATGTTCTTCGCCTCCTTCTCATTATTGCTCACAGTCAGGGAACTGGAAGGTAAGGGCTCTCAAGGATTCAGTGGTCTGCTGCCCCACGCTTCTTTCGCTTAGAGCAAACTTTTGTTCCAACTTTGCCAATCTCATCCTGCTCTGTCTCTTCTTCTTTGTTCTCATAATCGACGATGCTAATGTGCAGGTCCTGGCTCATTTCTGAGCCTCATATACAACCCTTTGCGATATGGTGCTGCTGCCACAGGTTCTTCAGAGTCAGAGGTCCTCGTGCTGGTCTGTCCAGACTGTTCTGCTTGACAGATATGCATTATCGAGTCGCACGGCACTCAGCTGCTCTTTCAGAAGGGTTTCCGAGCACAGAACATTTTGGTGCATATCATCACATGACCTGCTGGCAATGGAGGTGCAAATGAACATATCACAGTGCTGGCAGCCGACTGATGACAAGTATGTCGAAACAGCCAAGTACATTGCAATGTGCACATATCACTGTGCATTGGACAATCTACAGCAGCTTGTTGTGCAGTGGCTGTTTGAGCTGCACAAGCTGAATCTATCTCAGACAGGTGTGTGATTTTTTCATTTGATTTATAGATATTTGCTGAATGTTCTACATGTTTCAGCCTATCATGCTCACACGCACATTGCGAAGTCTTTGCAAGCTCGCTGCAATGCCATATGGCATGCTGTCAAGGCATACAATACTGCCAGACTCACAATCGATCCTCCACACCTGACACTGGATTGGTCGAAGACATCACATTATAGTTTCCTTGATGAGTTTACTCTGTTACAGGACACACAGAACAATGTTCATGATAGGCCATAGACAAAGCCAGCTATCTGGGAGCTCATGAAGAAGTCATTGCACATTAAACATGCATACGAGGAGCTGATTCGCTGCAACATCGAGGTGCACCGGCTCTATACCACAATACTAGATGAAGAGTGAATCTTTGTATCTGTACTGGAGCACACGCACCAGCATGACCCAATGCTATATCCTTCACTACACAAGTTCTGTGAGAGGCAGAGAAATGTGAATATCTGCCATCTTGCTCAGCTGCAGAAACTAGCTGACCTCGACAGCTTCACAGGTGACCTCTCTCCTGGCAAATGCAAGGGTGGTGCTGCAGCTGCTCTCGAGCCACTGGTAATTATCTCTGGCAGTGTTGTCAAGCAGGAGCAAGACAAGAATGAAGGACTTGAGGCACTTGATAAGGACATTGAAGGTGACATCAGTGGCCTTGTAGATTATATTGCTAATCTGTAACTACTGTACATATTATGGTTCCCTGCAAACAAATCACCTCACCGTGTTGAACATTCTTGTGATTTGAGTACTGAGAGCATACAAAGTGGCACTGCACAGCACACAAACTCTCTCATGATAGTATCATGATGGACTCAAACCATCATAAATTGTGTTCTTGAGGATTATGGCAGTTCTACGCTGTCAAATACAGCAGTGCAAGTGTAAGTACAGCATCTATTATAGTGTCTGATGCATAGACTGCAGCATATATATGTGAGGTGCATAAAAGTGGCAGGACTCCACTCTACAGCCACAGGCAAGCTGCAATCACAGTCGAGCTACAGGCTTGCACTCTGGCGGCTCGCGTGTCATGCACCAACAACTCACTTTGCACCTCCTTCTTACTCGACTACCTTCCCATTCCCAAGTCACCTCTGTCTTGATATCATGGATAAATACTAGGTTATTCTTAGAGGCAAGGTTCCGAGGATCTACACTGAGCAGTGAGTTTAAATGAATCACTTGAGATGCAAGTGAAACACTAACCAGCTCACTCATGCTTATCATTCCACATAGGCCACCAGTCACCCTGGGTGCATATAAGAACCCACTACCAGTTAGTGTCCATGGCGTGAACATTGACGAGGCATATAAAGTGTTCAAATTGCAGTCAATCTTCTGCGATGCAGCCAGAAGTCTCGATGAGCCTGCTGATGAGGTGTGGACCAGATTGTGAAGGAGTTACATGTATCTCACATAGCGAAGATGATTTTAGGCAATTACAAGGTGAAGTACATTGTGTGGTGTGGGGTGAAGACTGGCATATTCTTGAGCTGGTGAGCTTTTCATCCAAAATTAACAGATTAACTATGCTCACATTTTTCAGGGCTGACTGCAAGCCCAATGCTCAGAACTTCCTGAATGCAGATCATCAGAAGGAGAAGAACCTTGATGAAGCCATCACGTTGTACATGTACAAAGGGATCTTACCTAACATGCGCCATCATACTACTATGGAGAATTCAGTATTGTGATTGCACATTATAAGTGATAAGTTGACATGCAGACTCATTCGCAAGTGCTTTCACTGAAGTCAAATCTCATCAGATGATGTACAAGGCCACATAGAGCCATTAGCATCTGCCAGAGCTGACAAAAATAGCATATTCAGTTCCTTCCAAGGTGCGTGCCTAGCTCACGATGCATCATTGATGTATGTTGATTGTTGGCAGGTCATACGATGCAAGTGCAGACTGTGCATGTTCACACAGGAAGACATGATGCAACTCAATTGCAAGAGGCTACACAGTGTAATGATTTTTCTGACACTGGCCACACTCACACGGCCTGAAGGGCAGCTTCCACCTCCACATGGCAAACATCAGAAGCTCACATTTTCATGCCTGCTGGAAAACTCTCACCTGTGCCTGCCCACCTCCATATGCAATCCTCACTCAGCAGTAGTTCATTATCTCAGTGAATGCTGACAGAACAAAGTCCCACCATGGGATACAAACACGCCACAAGGGGCAGAGGAGTCTCATCTGTGGGACCAATGGCAGACAGATACCTTCACTCTCATGGGTATGCTCTTGCAGTGCGTGATCACATTGTAAGGGCATTTGAAACTGCAGATGATGTTATAGAGTTTGTGCAGTTGCTTTCTTTCAAAAATTTGCTGCCAAGCAGGGAGGTACCAGAATCTAAGCTGGAATACCTTCACTCCATCATTGAACTGCATCCTCCTTACCGATATGACTGATAATGTATATTGATTGTTGTAGAACTACTTAAAATGCGAAATTTCTCTGAAGCTGAAGGAGTGGGTGTAAGTCATGTGCAATAGACTTTGAGATCCCATCAACTGTCAACAGATGAAAAATCTCATGAAGTGCTTCTGACCAAGTGCTTCTCTCCAAGGATCATCACACATTCTAATATGGCTCAGACTGTGGCTGAAAGGCTGCTTCAATGCCTCTCGAATGCCAGGCACAAGAGCATGGCAAGAGCTCTGAAAATGTCAAGGACACCTTGGTGGCACAGGCACAAATGGAAGACAGTATACAGACTTACTCCTATTGAGAAGGCCCTCCTGGTCAAGAAATGATGGAAATGCAAGGAGACGCTGAATGAGGCACTGAATCAGGTGCGTGAAGAGATCTGAAAGCAAGCTTTCACACTCAGGGAGTGCTTTCAAGACCACTCTCACAACTACTACTATCACCTGATCATGCAGTGCCCCTGCAAGTCACCCTTCCATTGTAAGGTCAACATATAGAATGTGTTTCAGCACTGAGAACTCCACCATCTGAATGACAGTGAGTTCTATTATCACAGTCACCTGTTTCACGACATTGACTGAACATCGCTGTGGATGATCAGCCCTCTCACCAGATATTTCCAAGTACAAATCATCAGATGTTATGAATGACTTATGGCCAAAGTGGAGTGCAATGTCGAAGGAGGAATGTGTCATGATGACTCAAAATGACATCAAGAGCTTGGAGGAGAAGTGAGATATGAAGAAGTACTCGAAGCATAATGTCACACTCGCCGTGTTCTCTGATGCTCAAATGACTTTGATGAGGATTCAGGATGAGGTGAGTAGCTGTATTTGTCGAGTGATGCCCAATACTAACCTGACTGGTCAGCTGCAGGCTCACAGCACACACACTGATGTTGAGACCCTCTTGATCGCAGTTCAAATGAACTCAGAACTTTACAACAATCTGCTTGTCTTCTACAGCAATCAATGCCTTGCAGATTACCTTGAGATGATGACAAAGACCTCAGTTGAAAACTATGCAGTATGCATGGAAGGGTTCACGATCTCTGAGATTGAAGGTATCCTTCTATTTCATATGCTTATCCTGTCATGCCCTGATGGTGTTTGGGTAGGATTCATTGATAATCACATCTAGCAGATGCTCCAGCTTAAGGCAAGAATCTCTGAGCTGGTGCTTGCAAAAGCCAGTAAGTATGATATCATTCTGTCTTGTCATATATTCACTAATGCATGTTTAGACAAAGTTTCACTGATCTCGATCAAACACATGGTCTACCAGAACTTCGAAGAGAACATTACTGCAAAGTTTCACCTTACCATCATCAATTATCTGCTCAAGAGGTTCTGTTGTCCTAGTGACGTCAGCTCAAAGAGTGAGCTGGAGCTTCTGCTCCATGCTTGGGAATCAGGTGTGACATACTGAAAATATTTGTCTAATGAGGAGTTCAGACAATGGGAGACCATGCAGTTCAATGTGAAGATGGCAGAAATGTGTGGCAACAATGACAACAATGGTGATGATGCTCACATCAACATCGCTGATCATGCCTATGCAGCCAGAGATAAAGCAGGCTTGCACATCAGTAGCTGCATGGATAGTCAATCCACCTCGAATGTCAACAACACTGCTGCCCTGATTGCTACCACATCCCTTGCCATTACCATGGTCTCTGCCCCCGTCAATTCCACCTCCCATCGATGTCACTGCCCTCGTCAATGCCACTGCCCCCATCGATGCATCTACCTCATCCACTATCACTGCACATGTTGTCGATATCTGCGCTGCTTCAATTGAGCTGAACAAATAGTGCAGAATGTCCAGTGAGCCATTCACCAATTTCATCAATCTCAATGTTGTCTCCTCATCTGATGGGTCAGCTGTACCTATTATAAAGATAACGAGAAAGCTGCATTCTGACAAGGGGAAGAAATGAGGTCTGCACAACAGGTCAAACTGAGCACAGAAGGAGAATGTCAGCTCCGTAGCCATTGCAGATGTTTGAGGTGGTCATAGCAGATGCATTGATGAGTAAGCAGTATAGTTGGACTCTATAGGCATTGATCTATGCAGGTGACACCTCATTCTGTAGCTTGCCTGGCAGGGGCTTGTAGTCTCCCAAGAATCTTGGTGTCAAACTATGTTCTGCTCTCACATTGTCTATTATTTATTTGTTCCATGTCTATTTCATGCAGAATATACTCCCCAATATTATACTCTAAAGAGGTAATGAAAACTTTGTCGAAAAAATGAGTCTGAGCCATATGTTGCTTGTCGCCATTGGCGGTGGTGAGCACACTTGTGCCATGGAGGGTTTGTCACCAAAACTATATAGTAGCATCATAAATTGTGCTGCCTACTAGTGATAAAAAGGACACAAAAACAGTGGAGGAACGCTTCCAATATAAGAGATCGGTGTGGTCACTGTTGGTGGCAGTGAGCATGCACCTCACACCTCCACTTATGACTATGGATATTAGTGAGATTGCTTACAGCATGTGATAGGAGTGCATAGAAGAAAAAATGAGAAAAAACAATGGAGAAATGTCCTACATAGAGAAGAAAGAGCACCACCATCGTCGGTGATGGCGGACACACATGCAAACACAGCGAGCACCAGATTCCGATGCAGTCCGAAAGTAGAGACACCAGGGAGTGTGACCACATACCTTATCAGGAACGGGCATGGCCTTATCAATCCTCGATCATTCAGCCACTCAGTGGCCATCACATTACATTAGCAGGGGAATTTCCATGTACTCTAACAGGAAATAAGCAATGATATCTAAGGTGCTACTGGCAGTGGGGGAGGAGCACACATTTGGATCTAGCTAGGCTTCCAAGTCCGGTTTGCATGGCAACCTTACTAGGCTGGACATGTGTGAGGTCCAGGTGCTCTCTAAGCTTGTGCACAGGCACACCTTCCAATTGGAGCAAGCCCAAGCCTGGGCTTTCAGCCACAGCATTTCAAGCAAGGTAATAGGTCACGTGATGTCAAACAAGCAGTCTTCAAGTCAGGTTTCAGTCACTCGTGATCCCCTTCTTACTGCCCAGCATGTGCTCATGAGCCAACCCCTTCTGCCATTTGCTGGCCATATCATCAGGCATGGTTAAAGGACTTTCATATGGATTACTTAGATATCTACCTCACTAATTGAACTGTAGACATCAATCAGAGTGACTTGCCACAAGCCCGGCGCTTAGGCCAGGCTGAGCCCAAGCCAAGCCTAAGCCCTGACAGAGGGCCCAGCTTGTGATTCTGGCAAGCCTGAGCCTGCTGAAGCTGAGCCCAAGCCCAGGCTTTCAGGCTGAGCCTGGCTCTGGACATCACTAGCTTGGAGGCTACATACATTCAAAGTGATTGTCTGCGCTGACCTAGAAGCAGTGGCTCACTCTTGATCCAGTCATCATCTCAGCTGTGGAATAGGTGACATCCAGGCATGGCCTCTATGAATAATAGATTGCTCATGTGAAAGTGCTCCTCAGACTGGTGAAGAGAGAAAACTGGGCAGTTTTCTGAATGTGAAAGTATCATAAGCTCAAGAAGATGAGCATTGAGATTGCGACAAGTGTTGTCTATGTAAGGACCCAGGTAATTTCCATAAGAAGTGTCACAAAATAGCATATTCGAGGAGCCCCAAATCATGATTTCCTTATCGTGGATTGCATATTTCAGACCTCGGAGGCCCCCAAAAGACCCTTCTCCTTATTGCAACTTAGCATATTTAGAGACTCAATAAGTGTCGGGGTCCCTGATCTAGGCATGTCTAGGTGGCTAAACACTGGCATTGATGTGTGAGAAGGCTCATTGATGCAACAAGGCCATTATATAGCCACATATTGACATAAAATAAATGATTTCCTGATTGAGTAATCATCATAGTACATGCACGTGTTGTGCTGCATTGTGACATCCAAGCCTTTCCTTGTGTAGCTCTCCTTTCCCTGAGTCTCATTTGAATCCCATGGATTTGTACCTCTCACGTTTGGAAAATACAGAATTTGCAGTTTGCTCATCAAGATCTTCTTATTCTGATCACAAATGAATAACAAAAAATGTCTGTGACAATATTAAATGCATTTGCAGCTCTTCTATAACATACCTATGTGAGAGTAGCGGGCCGTTTCACAAACAAATTCATACATTTTTGACTTAGACATAGCGTGATATATGGATGTGATGTATTGTTATAAAACATGACATAGCCATGGGCCTTGTCACACTTTGCATACTGGAGGTCCAAAACTTTGCATATTTCAGGCTGATTTTGAAAGATTTTTATAACACTCCTATATGAAAGTTGTCCAGGTCCTTCAACACATTCAGCAGCTGGGGTCACAGGATCAAAGCAATATTATGTCCCTTCAATGGGTCAGAGGCAATGGGAGTCAGTATCACTGATATGCACTGGAAAGTCCTGCACTCAAAAGCCCAACTGAAAGAGTAGTCAAAGACTGCATGACTCAATAATGCATATCAATTAAGCAGAATACTTTAAAGATAACAGCATGAGGACCTCTGACTCTGAAAAACCTGAGAAAGCAGTAAAGTATTGAGAAGAATCATGCATGAGGCTTGAAGATGAGCCAGGATCTGTGCGCTAGCATCACTGATTATGAGAACATAGAAGAAAAGGCAGAGCAGAATGATTTTGGCAAAATAAGAATGAGAATGTGCTTTAAGTGAGAGAAGCACAGGACAGCAGACTACTGGACCTTTGAGGACCTATACCTTTTAGTTTTCTAACTGAAAGCGGCAATGATGAGGAGGCAGAAAATGTCTTGGTACTGTTTCAGAGGATTAAAAACATAGACAAGATCGAAGATGTCTTCTGCTACACTAGAAGACATTATACTACATCTATATAATGAGTTGTATACATGACACAAAAAACAAAAACAAAGAGTTCATTTCTCAGTTTTTCATTCTACAGCTATCCTCACAATAGGGCAGTGTGCTCTATTCAGTTCTACAAGTCTATGCTCGATTTCAATGTTTTGTTAGCTCTCGACATCAATCAGGCAGCACTCTCTATAGTGACCCATAGCACAACTCAGAAAGTGCCCAGATAAGTCACATTACCACATTCTGTACTCACACTGATATGCTTAACCATGTCCTGGCTGTGAGCAGCTCCCCTAATCAATCCTACTAGAAAGGTGAACTGGAGCTTTCCGTCTGCAGTCCGTTTAGGCTATGGTTGCTGAAAACTTCAGATGATAATGCAGTGACAGGCAGCCATAAGTCATTTGGCTATGTGACTTGAAACAGATTAGTTCATCAACTGAATCAGTGAGTGACAGGTTCAACTATAGTGATGCCTCCGACTGAAAAAGAGTCAAAAGCTAGAGTGTGTGTGTGTGTGTAATGCAATTGGTGACTCCTGTACTTGTGAACTGTTGTGACTGAGGCCTTGAGCTATGTCATGGGAACTTGCTATATCTGGACAAAGCTGATTAAGTGCTGACGATGAGGCTCTAATTGTCTCTGAACTGGCTCAAGCACTGATGAGCAAATTTGTCACAGAATAAACCACACGTGACATGTAAAACCTGCAGTTGCACTGCATATATAGTCGGAACCAAGTGATAAGCCAAGCTTATCATTGCCAGCCTTTTGGCGAAGTGGTTAATCATCCATTAGGTAGTGGTGCATAGGATTCATGGTCTGGATCTGTGACAAAATGATAAGCTTACGGGGTCACTGGTTCGAATCTGAGAACTGGCAACACTTTGTGCAAGTTAGTCACTGGTCACGAGCATCGCGATTCATTAGGCGAACTCACCAGTGCAAGTCAGTCACCAATAATACGGTGCAAGTTAGTCATGTCCCAGTGCATGCAAGTTAGTCACAAAGCATCTCTCAGAATTGGTTGAAGATGGGGCAACCAATGAATTTGAATCCCTGACTTTCAATCCAATAATGCACAGATTAGCCAGTCCAAAGCTAGGATTGGGGTGGTGCTATATACCCTCAGGGACGAGGATCCTTAAACAGGGGATAATGTCACAGAATAAACCACACATGACATGTAAAACCTGCAGTTGCACTGCATATATAGTCGGAACCAAGTGATAAGCCAAGCTTATCATTGTCAGCCTTTTGGCGAAGTGGTTAATCATCCATTAGGTAGTGGTGCATAGGATTCATGGTCCAGATCCGTGACACACAGTCTTGTACTTGTCGATAGGCATTGATATGCACCAGAAAGTGCTGTACTCAGAAGTCTAACTGAAAGAGCAGCTGAGGACTGCGTGACTCGATAACATGTATCTATCAAGTGAAATACTCTAGACAGAATAGCACAAGGACCTCTGAGTCTGAAGAACCCACAGAAGCAGTACAATATCACAAAGGGCCATACATGAGGCTTGAAAATAAGCCAGGACCTGCATGCTAGCACCACCGATTAAGACAACAAAGA